TGGCTTAAACTTGACCTCGTCATTGGGGACACCAACCATGATGAACGTGCCGCGCTTCTTCACCAGCGTCAAGTACGTGTTGTAAGGCATGTTAGGGGCATCAGCCGTCAGCAGCAACACGTTGACAGACTTTTCGGCCTTCTTCTGATCCTCGGGGTCACTCAAGTTGTAGAATTCCTCGGCACCGAGAGCACGCGTCTCCTCCTCCTTGTCGGCCGAGCGCGAGAATGCAACTGGGGTAGCACCTAACGCACGGATGAACTGGATGGCGAGATGGCCCAGCCCACCGATACCGATGACACCCACATGATCGCCAGGCTTCACGTAGCGCCTTAGTGGCGTGAAGACAGTCACACCAGCACACAGCAACGGCGCAGCGGAAGCGGACGGAATGTTGTCGGGGATCTTGAACGCGAAGTTGCTGTCGACTCGAACGTACTCAGCGAAGCCGCCATACGCCATCGCCCCGTCCTCATACTTCGCATTGAATGCGATCACCGTGTGCTCACAGTAGGCAACCTCTCCGTCGGCGCAGTCCTCGCAGGGCCTTTTGGGGTCCCTATTGAGGCACGACCAGACGTGTGCACCAACACCGACGCGGTCGCCCACCGCCAGGTTCTTCACACTGAGGCCAGCTACAGTCACCTCACCAATGACTTCGTGGCCAGCCACGCACGGGTACATTGTAGGCCTTCTGTCGCTGTTGAGGTGGTGGATATCCGAGGCGCAGATGCCACAGTGTGAGATCTTGATCTCGACGTCTTCAGGACCAAGCGGACGAGACTCGTACTGGTACGGTACGATGTTGCCCGATGGCTCGAAGGCAGCGTAGGCGCTAACAGTTCTTGGAGCAGCCATCACTTTAGAAGGATCGCCTGTGGGTATAGCCGATTCAAGGCGAAATGTAAAATGTGGTTGGTTTCAAGCATGACCCATGGATGCGAGACGCCGTCATCGGTGATTATGTCGATGGTGTGATTGTGGGCTCAGTCCTTAAGGGACATCATCTTAGGTACCTGTTTTCTATCGTTAGATTTACTGTTGATCAAATCTGCTTCGTTGACTCAGATGTACCAGTACCCTAGTATAATAGTAGATGTAATAATACTAATACAGATTTTTTTTAGGTAATAAACCAACGATGATGCATTTTATCCACCTTCATCATCATCGATGATGTCGTGAAGGAGATTGTGCGCCCCCCCCCCAACATCTGCAGCAAAAAATATTGTGCGCGCCCCGGGTCTATTTTGATTGAAAAGTATAACACTGGGACATGGTTGAGGAATCGGCAGTAGCTCTCAGCACAATGCAGCACGCCAGTAGGCTAGGGTCGGTCGTCAGTTAGCTCATTTGCGAATTCACTCTCAACCAAGCACCATCAAGCTACTTCTTCCGCTACCAGACATGTCTGCTGCTCCGAGAACTTTCAACGGTTACGCTGCCTTCGATAAGACCGGCGAGTGCAAGCCCTGGCAGTTCGAGCCGCGCCCACTCGGTGCCGAGGACGTCGAGATCAAGGTCACTCACTGCGGTATCTGCGGCTCCGACGTACATACCGTTGACAGCGGATGGGGCCCCACGCCGTACCCGTGCGTCGCTGGACACGAGATTGTTGGCAACGTCGTTCCAGTCGGTCTGAGTGTCAAGAGCCTCGCCGTTGGTGACCGCGTCGGTGTTGGTGCGCAGGCATGGGCGTGTCTAAACCGCGATCCGAATGATCACTGCCGCGACTGCGCTGACGGCGAGGACGCCGTGTGCGATCAGGGCGTTTTCACTATCAACGCCGCCTACAAGGACGGCTCCCGTCAACAGGGCGGCTTCGCGGACTTCATCCGCGTGGACAACAACTACGCCTTCAAGATTCCAGACGCTCTGCCGTCGGACGCCGCCGCTCCGCTCATGTGCGCTGGTGCGACGGTGTTCACGCCGCTGAAGCAAGAGGGCGTTAAGGCGGGTGACCGCGTGGGTGTGATCGGCATCGGTGGTCTAGGCCACATCGCCATCCAGTTCATCCGTGCACTGGGTGCCGTCCCCGTCGCCTTCTCTCGTTCGTCGAAGAAGGAGAAGGAGATCCGTTCTCTAGGAGCCGAAGAGTTTTACGACTTGAGCAACCTGGAGCACCAGAAGAAAGCTGCTGGGAGCGTCGACTTCCTCCTGCTTACCGCTGATGCCAAGGACATGCCGTACGATCTGTACCTGAGCCTGGTTCGCAAGCGCGGCACGTTCATCATGGTGGGTCTTCCTCCTGATCAGGTCAAGATCACGCCGTGGTTCCTGGTTCCTCGTGCTACCCGTGTACGAGGCAGCGCTATCGGCAGCATCCAGGACATCAAGGACATGCTTAACGTGGCGGCGAAGAACAACGTGCGGCCGATCATCGAGAAGATGCCGATGAGCGAGGTGAACAAGGGGCTGGACAAGGTTCGTGACGGCAGCGTCCGCTACCGCGTCGTGCTCGAGAACTAGGCAGGCATCTACTGGTCGGGATCTACAGAAAATAAAGACACTGATCATTGAATCGCTTGATTTGTATTCGCGCAGTTTGTCCTCACAAATTTGATGGAGCATTCGTAGATGTAGGGTTTTCGAGGACAACACGGTAGCGCATTTTACCGGAACGCACCATGGCAAGACCGTCGTTAACTCGCTCCATCGGTAGCTTCTGGATAATGGGGCGGACGTTTCCCTTTGAGGCTAGCTCCAGCATTTCCTTCACATCTAGAGGACTTCCTATTTTGCTTCCAACCAGGCGTTTGCCATCTCTCACGAAGCTGCCCGGACTGCAAATGAGCTTGTCGTTAGGCAGACCCACCATGATCAACGTGCCGCGTGGACGAAGAAGCTTGAGGTACGTGTCGTACGGCATGTTGTTGGCATCAGCAGTGAGCACCACCATCTTCACCGACCTCACCGCGCGCTTGGCGTCCTCGGGGTCGCTCAGATTGTAAAATTCCTCAGCTCCAAGAGCGCGAACCTCTTTCTCTTTGTTAGGCGAGCGAGAGAAAGCGACGGGGACACCTCCCATTGCACGGATGAACTGAATCGCCAGGTGACCGAGACCCCCAATGCCGATGACCCCCACGCGATCTCCAGGTGTCACGCCCTCGCGCCTCAATGGAGCGAATACCGTCACACCAGCGCACAGCAGTGGCGCTGCCTCTTCCGACAGGATGTTTTCGGGAATCTTGAACGCGTAGTCGCTCGATACACGCACAAAATCCGCATAGCCGCCGTAGGACTTGGAACCGTCCTTGTAAAGCGAGTTGTAGGTCATGACGACGTCTTTGCAGTACGGGTCGAAGCCGTCGGCGCACTCGTCACAAGGAGAGTTGGGGTCCCTATTGCGGCAGGCCCATACCATGGCCCCCACGCCGACGAGCCACAGATACCGCAATGCGAGATCTTGATCTCCACGTCTTCAGCGCCGAGGGGGCGAGGCTCGTACTGCCAGGGTCTGCACTCGCCCGACGGGTCGAAAGCGGCGTAGGCGTTAATGATGCGCTTAGGCATGTTGCCGGTGAACGTTGTGCTCTATGGGTGGGGAATGCGGAATGGTGGGGTGAAGACTGAAGCGAACCGGAGGGGTCATCAAAGGCGCGTGGAAACCAGCGTTGAAGGGCAGAGCTACTTAATCGATTAAGAATATTGAGCCGGGCAGCCCACTTGTGTCCAATCACCGCGCCCCAGCACATTCCAGCGGTTTGCGGCCAAATTGCTGGGCCATCATGCCAGGCAGTTTAGTCACGATTGGTGAATGTTGTGTCACGCGGGTGCCGCATCAGTCTGTGCGAGGCAGTGGTCATTGCTCAACTTGCGTCGACGGAAGCACCGCCTTCCTTTCGAGCCATGCTGTTGCAAAAGTCTCCGTCGTCAAAGAAATATGCCACGTTCTTTAAGGTGCCGCTAGCGTCGCCCAACGAGCACCGTCGCCAGTCCGCATCGCTGCTGTCGAGACTCTTCTTCTCGTATGCAGACGATATGATGCAAATTGGTAACACGCGGCAACTGGATCAGGACGATCTGCTGGTGCTAGATGACGAGAGTCGCTCGGAAGTCGCTTACGCCTTCTTTAAGCGGCACTACCACCGCCAAAGCCAGTCTATCGTCCGAGCTATCATACACGGCTACGGGTGGAAGTTCCTTCTCTGTGGGCTGGCGTCGGCGTTCACGACGGCATGCAATCTTTTCGCACCCGTTGTGTTACACCACGTGATCGACGCCTTCGCTACACCGGAGATGGATCTGACGAGTCTCGGAGTGTGGCTAGCAGCCTTTTTCGCCTCTCGTCTCGCCAACGCTCTGGTGGCGCCACACGTAGACTTCCAGATCCAAATGATGACGTTCCAAATTGCAGTGTCATTGCGAGCGCTGCTGTTCGAGAAGACCATGCGACGCAGTATTCAAAGTCGCAGCGACGATAAATCTGTTGACATTGCAAATATCTACACGTCGGATATTCGGAGAGTCATCTACGTTGCCAACGAGATCAACACGTTGTGGATTTTACCCATCCAGATCGGCGTTGTCGTCTACATGTTGTACGACGTCCTTGGCCTTGCCGCTTTTGCGGGGCTTGCCGTTATCGCGCTGTCGATGCTGATTGCTTTCTTCTTCACCAAGAAGACTAGTGGAGCGTACAGGGAGCTGATGAAACGCAAAGATACCCGCATGAAACTCGTCAAGGAGGTATTTGGGGCTATTCAGATAGTCAAACTCAACTCATGGGAAGGAAAATTTGAGGAGAAACTTCTTGCTCTGCGATCGCTTGAACTGTCTGCGTTGGCAACATTTGTGTATTTCATGTGTGGGTCCATCTTTGTGCTGTGGGCATCACCACTCTTCGTGTCGACAGTATCGTTTGCAGTCTACACATTGGGAATGGATCAAGTGCTAACAGCTGCAAAGGTATTCACTGCCATCGCATTGTTTAATTCTCTTCGTGACCCACTACGCGATTTCCCGAGCATCATACAACAGTGTCTTCAGGCCAAGATCTCGCTGGAGCGAATGGCAGAATACCTCGCTCTGCACGAAGTTGATCCGTCCAACGTGTGTCGAAACGTTCCTTCTATTCCAGGTGACGCTGCGATCATGATAGAGCACGGCACATTTGACTGGGGCCAAGCTGGAAATCCGGTGCTGACGGACGTAAACCTCATAGTCAAGAAGGGTGATTTGGTCATCGTTCATGGACCTGTCGGCTCTGGCAAGTCTTCGCTGTGCTCTGCCTTACTAGGCGAGATGGAGAAAATTGACGGCAAGGTGTCTGTAAACGGTAAAGTGGCATACTACTCACAGCAGCCGTGGATCCAGAATATGACCATCCGAGAAAATATCCTCTTTGGACATGCCTTCGACCACAACAAGTACCAGAATGTGCTGGATGTCTGTGGCCTTCTCCCCGACCTGCAGCAATTTCCCGGCGATGATGCAACTGAGATCGGCCAAAAGGGAATCAACCTGTCGGGTGGTCAGAAGGCTCGTGTGAGTCTGGCACGCGCCTGCTACTCCGACGCAGATATTTTCATCTTGGATTCACCTCTCGCAGCAGTGGACGCTGTGGTTCAAAGCGAGATCTTCAGCAAATGTATCTGTGGGCTGCTAACAGAGAAGACGGTGGTTCTTGTCACTCATAACCAGGACGTTGTCGAGTCTGGCGTAGCGAATTGCAAGGTATCAATGTCAGAAGGTCAAGTTTCTATCGAGCGACAAAAAAGTAAACGCCCTCGAACATATTTTTCGACACAGATATCACCGGACAAGACGGAGAACGAACCAAGAGCTACCAAGCATGATGACGATAGCCTGAAGGACACCGCTCGTCTGATCGAAGATGAAGAACGCGAGGAAGGTCGAGTGTCGGCGACGGTGTTTTGGCACTACTTCGACGCAATGGGAGGACTAAAAGTGTTGTTGCTGCTGCTGCTGATCCAGTCATTGTGGCAGGGATGCCAAGTCGGGAGTGATCTGTGGCTCAGTCACTGGACTGGTCAGAAGGGCAACACGTACGATGCCTCACGAACCCAGTACAACATGACAGTCTACGCATTACTGGGCGGAGGCAGTGCTTTGATGGTGCTCGCACGTGCTGTGACGACGGCTACTGCTGGACTCCGTGCTTCTCGCGAACTATTTCATCTGCTTACACATGCGTTGTTGTATGCACCATTAAGATTCTTCGACGCCAACCCGATCGGCCGGATTCTCAATCGATTTGGAGAAGACATTACTGCAGTGGAAACCGACATCCCATTCGACACCGGAAGCCTATTGGTGGCAGGCTTCTTCACATTTTGCCAGCTTGCGACGGCCATCTACATTGTGAAAATACTGATCGTGTTCATCATCCCACTCGCGTATCTCTATGTCAAGTTCGCAAAGTTTTACTTGATGCCGTCTCGAGAGATTTCACGGTTGCTGAAAGTGGCGTCTTCTCCAGTTCTCAGTCACATTTCTCAAGCCGAAGAAGGCGTTACTACGATCCGAGCTTTTGGACCGGAATGTGTGGATCAAACAATTGCTAAGAACTTATCACGGAATGATGTGAATGCTCGCGCGTGGTTTTGCGATTTTGTAGTGTCGACGTGGTTTCAACTTCGCATGAAGCTCATCGGCTGTGGTGTTGTGATTGCTGTGGTGTCATGTCTAGTCTACCTTCGAGACTATCTATCACCGGGGCTTGTTGGTGTTGCGTTTACTTACGCATTGAGCATTGACAGTCGTCTCGCTCGACTAGTACATGTCTGGTCTTGGCTAGAAATCGAAATGGTCAGTCCTGAAAGAATCATGGCGTATGCTTCGATTACACCAGAGGAAGAGCAGAGCATTCTCGCAATTGAACCGAGTCAGCCATGGCCCAATACTGGGAACATTTCCTTCCAAGACGTCGTCTTCAGCTACAAACAAGGTGCTGCATCTGTACTCAAGGAACTCTCCTTCAATATCCAGAACAACGAAAAGATCGGCATTGTCGGACGCACCGGTGCAGGCAAGTCCAGCCTCACCATGGCGCTCTTCCGTATCAATGAGTTGGTCTCCGGTCGCATCCTCATCGACGGCATCGACATCGCCACTATGCCACTACGCACATTGCGATCGAATCTGTCCATCATTCCGCAGTCACCTGTACTGTTCAAGGGTACACTGCGAGCCTACATGGATCCGTTCGACGAGTTCACGGACGCGGACATCTGGAACGCATTGGAGAAGGTGGATATGAAGACGCAGGTGTCGGCACTGGAAGGTCAGCTATCGTACGAGTTGAGCGAGAACGGGGAGAACTTCAGTGTGGGCGAGCGGCAGATGCTGTGCATGGCTCGCGCTCTACTGACTCGGAGCCGCATCGTGGTGATGGATGAGGCGACGGCGTCCATCGACCACGAGACGGAGAAGAAGCTGCAGCAGATGATCAATCGGGACTTCCAGGACGCGACGGTGTTGACGATCGCTCATCGATTGGGCACGGTGTTGGATTCGGATCGTATCCTGGTATTGAGTGATGGCCGTGTGGTGGAGTTTGATAGTCCTCGGGAGTTGGTGAAGAACACGAACGGAGTGTTCTATGCGTTAGCGAAAGAGGGAGGATATTTAGACAAATTGCAGTAAGAAGCATTTAAGAAAGAACGTGAGCGTTAAGCTGGAATCATCTTGGTCATGTCCCTGTGCGAAGGCGTTGACCTACTTAGTTTTCAAGCACAATACGGTATCGAACACGCCCTTCCCGCATCATTGCGATGCCTTCGTTCACTTTGCTCATGGGCATCTGCTGGACGATAGCACGCACGTTCTTCTCTGACGCCAATGCCAGCATGTCCTTAATGTCTTGGATACTTCCGATGAGACTTCCCACCCACTTGATTCCCTTGGCCACCACAAACATTGGCTTAAACTTGACCTCGTCATTGGGGACACCAACCATGATGAACGTGCCGCGCTTCTTCACCAGCGTCAAGTACGTGTTGTAAGGCATGTTAGTGGCATCAGCCGTCAGCAACAACACGTTGACGGAGCTTTCAGCCTTCTTCTGATCCTCGGGGTCACTCAAGTTGTAGAATTCCTCGGCACCAAGATCACGGATCTCCTTCTCCTTGTTGGCCGAGCGTGAGAATGCCACTGGGGTAGCACCCAACGCACGGATGAACTGGATAGCGAGATGGCCCAGCCCACCGATACCGATGACACCCACACGATCACCAGGCTTCACGTTGCGCTTCAAGGGCGTGAAGACGGTCACACCAGCGCACAACAACGGCGCAGCGGAAGCGGACGGAATGTTGTCGGGGATCTTGAACGCGAAGTTGCTGTCGACGCGGACGTAGTCTGCATATCCACCGTACGCCATGGAACCGTCCTCGTACTTGGCATCGTAAGTGATCACGGAGCGGTTGCAGAAGGCGTTTTCACCGTCACCACACTCCTCACAAGGCCTCTTGGGGTCTTTGTTAAGGCATGCCCAGACTTGAGCTCCGACACCGACACGGTCACCCACGGCCAGATGCTTGACATTGGTACCAACAACAGTCACTTCACCGATGATCTCGTGGCCAAACACACATGGATACATCGTTGGTTTCCAGCCGCTGTCGAGGTGGTGAATGTCCGATCCGCAGATACCGCAATGTGAGATCTTGACTTCCACGTCTTCTTCACCGAGCGGACGAGATTCGTATCGGAATTGCACAATCTTGCCCGACGGCTCGAAGGCAGCGTAGGCGTCGACAGTTCTCGGGAAAGTCGACATGTTTCTCGAGTTATCGGGATGCTGAAGTGATGAACGAAGCAAATTAAGGAATGGCGGATTGGTTCGTGTTTCACTTCAGCAGACAGGTTGGATCAGGGTAAAGGAAATGCAGCGGCTGTACGCAGTAGGAACCATGCTGTTGTCGCAACAGTGTTGCAATAGTCGTTGCTTATCAGTGAAATGTTGATGCAGTTGGGGCAAGTTGCTAATCAACGATTATGCAGATCAACAAGCTTCATGCATTTTGTACAGTACAAGTGCACCCTCGTACCAGCACGTAATACCCCCCCCCCCCAAAAAAAAAAAAATTTACCACGGTAAAACAATTCAGGTGAAAAATACTGCTGGGCGGACATGTTGAGTTGTTTTCCCAACTTTCTCCCGGTTCACAACTCATTAAAATAAATTCAATGGATGAACACGCTTGTTCGCCCGTCGAATTTAAAAGTGGACTTCAAGTCTTTAACTCTTCTAAAGAAACTTTATATGCATAAGACTCGAGGCTACACATATATCTTGAGCGATCCGATGACTACCAAAATACACAAGACCAGGCTGTATCTGTGGCTCCATTTTTACTGATGCATGCCAATAGCATTCTCCCAAAAAAACTTGTGTCGCAAAATGACAAACATAGCTCACTTTAGAATACTTTTATACCCACATTTGGTCACAATAGGACCTTGTTATATACTCCTGACATAACAGCTCAAGTATAATGTCATTTATAACTTCAATTCAGCATAAACGAAATGTCCGCATCATCTCCACTTGTCACACGTTTCATATACTGAAACTCTTGATCATCTCGTTTTGCATGGTCATGACATCCAAAAGCTCATTTTCAAATTCGCTTCCGACCAAACGCATCTGATCGAGACTTACCAAGACAACATATCATGTCGACTGCTCCGAGAACTGTCAACGCATACGCCGCCTTTGACAGCACCGGCGTATGCAAACCCTGGCAGTACCAGAGTCGCCCACTTGGTGACGAGGACGTCGAGATCAAGATTTCTCACTGCGGTATCTGCGGCTCTGACCTTCACACCATTGACGGCGGTTGGGGTCCCGCCCCGTACCCGTGCGTTGTTGGTCACGAAATCATTGGTGAAGTGACTCTGACTGGCCCGAATGTGAAGAATCTGGCAGTGGGCGACCGTGTCGGCGTGGGTGCCCAAGTGTGGGCTTGTTTAAACCGCGATCCCAATGACAAGTGCCGCGATTGCGGAGATGGTGAGGATGCTGTGTGCGATCAGGGTGTCTGGACTTACAACGGCACTTATAAGGACGGCGCCAAGTCCTACGGCGGGTACGCCGACTACGTGCGTGTCGACAGCAACTACGCTTTCAGGATCCCCGAGGTTATTCCTTCCGATGTGGCTGCACCTCTGCTCTGTGCTGGTGCTACCGTTTTCACGCCTCTGAAGCAGGAGGGCGTGAAGGCGGGCGACCGTGTCGGCGTCATTGGCATTGGTGGCCTTGGCCACATCGCCATTCAGTTCATTCGTGCCCTGGGCGCCACTCCTGTTGCTTTTTCGCGTTCTGCAAACAAGGAGAAGGAAATTTTGTCGTTGGGAGCCGAGGAATTCTACAACCTCAGCGACACCGAGCAGCAGAAGAAGACGGCCGGAAGTGTTGATTTCCTGCTGCTTACCGCTGATGCTAACAATATGCCGTACGATCTGTACATGAGCCTGGTTCGCAAACGTGGCACGCTCATCATGGTTGGTGTCCCGAATGACCAGATAAAGATTTCACCATTTTTCTTGGTTCCTCGTGCTGTGCGTGTGCGAGGCAGTGCGATCGGTAGTATCCGGGACATCGAGGACATGCTGGAGCTCGCGGCGAAGAAGAACGTGCGCCCTATCATCCAGAAGCTGCCGATGGCCAAGGTGAACGAGGGGCTGGACATGGTTCGTGAAGGCCGTGTACGCTACCGTGTCGTTCTAGAGAACTAGGCCGTAGAATAGTTTACTGTAGAGGTCCACTGGTGGGTAGGTTGCTTTCTTTCATGAAGATCTCACGCTGGTGTTCAATGAAATCAACGACTTTATAACTTTCTCGCTAACATATAGACACCGTGCACGACTCCTTTGCCCTATCATAAACGATAGTGCAATACACTTTATCTGCTGAAAAAAAAATCTACATATAACGACATACAAAATCTGAATCTGGAACATAGTCATTTAAAGCGTGGTATAAATTACAGATCTCTATTTATGGGTACATAAATGTTTCACTTGAAGAATGCATTTGACTTTACATCCTTCAAGTAAAACATTTAAAGTTTCCGAACGGAAACAAATTGCCGTTGAATGGCATACAGACGAAAAAAAAACTTTATAAAAATTTAATTTTTTTCCGTCTGGATGCCATCGAAGCATATTTTACGGTTACGTTATTTACCCAAAATATAAATTGCATAGATTACCTTTTATGAATGCTCATTTATTACCCTTATTATATTCTGATAGCTTACCCGATTATTTTACTAGTACTTATTTTACTCGAAATAATTTCTCTCATAAATGACCAGCCCGTCAAAGAGAATCTTTTTCTCACTTCCCAAAACGACCGCCAAGCCACCAATCACGCCCAGGAAGAGCAGGTGACAACTATGGCGCCCCCTAACGTTGACAACATGTTCACGCTCAAGGTGGACAATGTCCCCTTCCAGATCGGGTGCGTATGCTTTCTCGTTTCTCTCTCTCTTCTCCGCCCCATCTAACCTCTTCTTATCCCCAGGAGCGACGAGCTGCGCGATCTCTTCTCCAAGTTCGGCGAGATTGGTGACGTCTACATCCCCCGCGCTCGTGGCTCCAACGAGTCGCGCGGATTCGCCTTCGTGCGTTTCATGGAGAAGCGCGACGCCGAGGACGCCATCGACGGCATGGAAGGTCAGGAGTTCCAGGGCCGCGACCTGCGCGTGCAGTTTGCCAAGCAGCGCCGTCCCGACAACCCTCGTGAGTTCTACTCGCGTGGCAGCGGCGGCGGCGGCGGCGATCGCTACGGCGGCGGCGACCGCTATGGAGGAGGAGGTGACCGCTACGGAGGAGGTGACCGCTACGGAGGAGGTGACCGCTACGGAGACCGCAGAGACGACCGCCGGGACGATCGCCGCTACGATGACCGCCGGGACGACCGCCGTGATGATCGTTCGCGTCGCCGCTCGCGCTCCCGCTCTCCAGACCGCCGAGACCGCGAACGCGGCAGTGCTGGCCGTGACCGCAGCCGTAGCCGTTCGCCCCACCCGCGCAGCCGCTCGCCGCGTCGCAGCGCGTCACCGCCTCGTCGTGACTAAGTGAGCTGCGGCCCAGCGAAGGACAGCGACAAGGAAGAGGAGGAGTACCAGTTTAAGCAGAGAGGCGAGACCAGACCAGATCCAGATGGATTTTGCTTGTTTTATCTACTTCGGACGAGTGGTCCTGCATTGTTGCTGCCTTATCGAGAGAGTATTAAACACGTGAACCAACCGGAGAAACTTCAAAAAGAGTCGAGAGAAAAGGAAAACTGCTGGGAGACTCGGGAGAATCCTGACCAGAGTTGGCGGTTGTTTCGTGGGAGGTGTTGAGGGTGGTGCATTCAAAAACGTCGTGTAGTGCGGGTCCTGTGTTTGATGCTGCTGTTGTTCGAGTCCTGTGAGGTCGAGGCAGCATTGTGTGTGTTCTGAACAGACGACTGATCGTCCTTCTGTCGCTATTTCTACTGGTTACCAACCGCAAAGGCCTCGACGGACGTCTGGCGTGCTCAAGCCGAGATGCTTGCACTCCAGGCATGAGTAGGTAAGGTATCTGGCGGCTCTTCTGGCATTCAAACGATTATGCACGCGGGAACTTCTTAGAAACAGACGCACCAACGGCAGTTTGGTTAACAAGAAGCGCCACAGTTGAAGCTCTGTCATGATTGATGGAGCAAAACAAGGCAAGGACCGAGTCATCGATCTTAACGGCTGCAACATTGATACGCTCAACTGTCGCGCTGATGATTGAACTGAGAGACTTTCATTTCAAAAATGTTAGTTCATCCACGATTCTCGCAAAAAATAAAGAGCAAATTGAAAAAGAATGGCGCGCTGTAGAATCACTGCATCCTGCTAATGGCGCTCCTAAGACGTGACGATGAGGTAGATGAAGAAGGCGATGACACCAACCATGAGTCCAGCACAGTAGAGCGAGCGCATGTCGCCGTCGATGTTGGAGTATCCGCGGCGTCGGTAGCACAGACCTCCAGCGTACACGATCGCGACAAGCAGAATGGCTCCACCCAGCCCAATAAAGATGCGGCTGATAGAACTACCAGTATTCCCGTTTGATGAACTGTCGTCGGAATCGACTCCGTCTTCGTGGCGTCCGTGGACACTGCGGACAGGAATCGTCGCACTGGAAGGTTCATCCTCGCAGCAATCCAACTTGGCTCCCGTCGTCGGGTCCGGCTTACAGCAGCCTCCCTCCCACCCGCAGCAGTCCAGCCCAGCAGCACCACATTTAGGTTGGCCCTGGCACGTGTTCGCATCACTCGATTGAGAAGTACTGGACAGAGCTGTGATCGGCGTTTCCGAGGCGCAACAATCCAACTTGACACCAGATCCCGAGCAGCAGCCGCCAGGTACGCCGCAGCAGTCGAGCTTGGCCGCCTCGCACAGTGGTTCACCGTAACATTTTGCTGCGTCCTTAGTCTTCTCAACTGCCTTGTGAGTTACGTTGGCGACCACGGGGTGCTGGTTCTTGCAGCAACCCAACACAGTACCCGAGATGGGGTCAGGCTCACAGCATCCATCGATGGTGTTGCAGCAGCCCAATCCAAGCACAGCACACTCATGTTCTCCGAAGCAGGCGTTGCTTGGCAATAACGCGGGATCTTCTTGTGGGCAGCAGCCCAGCGCACTCGGACAGCAACCAGGCAACGTACTGCAACACATCAACGCCGTGCCATTTTCTCCTGCCGTGGCACACGCCGGAAAGCCAAAGCACTTGTCATCAGGATCGAGGTCGGGGTCACTCAGAGCTGGGCGGTTCTTTTGAGCGAACCACGACGGACGAGTAGCAATCCAAAACATTGCGTTCGTACGTGAAGACCACGTGTCGAACGCCTTCACCGTGTTGTTCAGCTCATCCCAAGCTTCCGCTGCGTTCAAGATCGCGTGATCCATCACTACAATCGAACGCCAGATGTCGTATTGATCCAGATCGGGGAGATCCTGACTCAATAGCGCATACTCTCGCGCTACATACTCCTCGTCCAGCAGTTGCGAAGTAAACGGCGTGAAGGGGAGCATGTTGATGCCGTGAATGTAGACGGCACGGTCGCCAAACCACGTGTTGTACACCACACTCATCTCGCCCACCACACCCACCATGGCGTTCTTCGAGAAGACAGGCTCGTAGATCTTCGAGTTCTCCGACATGTGCCAGTATTTCTTGACCGATCGCAATTCCGTGGCCAGTAAGAGACGCGCGTACTGGTGGTAAGAGCTGTCTCCTTGTCCTTCGGTGGCCTTTTCGTCCAGTGAGGAGAATAAGGCCAACGCATAGTAAGCGTTGAGGTCTTCGCTGCTGCTTTCCTGAGACTTGCCGTCCTCCATCGGGAACAAACCACTAGCGTACGAGTGGCCAACGAACCAGTCTTTGTGGCGAGCAGTAGGGAACAGCAGTCGGACTGGCAGGTCGTTGAAAAACGACGTGTTGCTGTTGAGTAGCGGCGTGCCAATATCTCCCATGATCAAGGCACAGGCTTGCGCATGCTTCTCAATGAACTCTGGGTCGAATTTCCGAACCGCAGCAAGCGCATAGACAAAATATCCGTAGTGGAACTGCAATAATAGACATAAAAATTGTTAGAATGACACCATTATACAGGTATACAAGCATCTCATACATGATGGTCGTTGTAGTATCCGTTGCCATAGTCTGCCTGCTCGTCATTCCAGCCATCGTTCGTGATCACTCCTCCAAACGTTTGGTCGTACACAAAGTGATCGACGTTAGTGCCTTCAAGCCAATCGACGATCTCCAGCTCAACTTTTGTCAGGAGTTTCTGCTTCAATTCTTCCTGCTTGAACGTGTCCGCAATCAGCAACAAACGCGCATCGCGACTCACTTGCTTGCCAAAGTTGTACGAGTCCGGACTCATTGGCGGCGGGTACTTGTCAGCGTCAATAGGCAGCTCTTTAAGGATAGCCTCCGTTGCTTTAACGCGCATATCAAGACGAAGCTGCTTGTCGTCAGAGCTGTCACTGAAGTCATCACTAAAGAGACCGTCGTCCGCGTAGTTCCACTCGACCGCTGGCAGATTCTCCTTCATGTGCCACACAGCGCCGAACACGCCTTCCATCAGGCCACGGATGCTCGTGTACCTCAAGTCCGACAGCACTTTGTTCTTGCCTTTCTTCAAAGGTTCATTGTCAGTCTGCACTTGCATCACGTCCATGTGATGGGGAAGCGCTAGCATCAGCAGTTTGTTCTTCTCCTCGTCCGTCACCTCGTCGGCTGTGCCGTGGAACGTCGAAAAGCTCTTTGTCTTCCACTGGAACTCGAGCAAAGCCTTGTCCGAGTCTTGAGGGTCCACCGAGTGAGCGACGTCACCTCCAATAGCGTATACAGACGCCGACTCGAGTAGATAAGCCATCACCTTGGCGTCGTGACACAGCGCCACTCTCAATACACCCGTAAACTCCTCGTCACTAGTCACTTGTCCGTTGTCGTTCAACTTGAGCTTGAGTTGTTTATCCGACGCGTAGACGTACCACGTCTGGCCATTATTGAGCTCCGCCGCGAAGGTGGCGAATGGGATGGCGTCTCCGTTCATGAGTGTAAGTCCTTTGAGCTTCTTAAAGCGATTGATCTGCAGTCCGTCCTTGGCCTCTAGTACGGGACGACTATGTGTGTACTCCATCGTAATATACGGTGAGCCTCGCACCAGATACACGCGGAACTCCTCCGCTTGGCCGCGACTGAAGCGCACGGTCGTACTGAACGCGTCAAAGTTGACGACGTGGTGCGCTAGCGGCAGCGTCGACGTCTGCGCCTGCGAGCTCACGACCATCTGGGCGATGAAACCTTCCTCAATGTCTCGCGGTGCCACGACGCGGAACGGGAAGCTCACGTGCAGTTTCTCGTCCAGGATCTTGTGAACGTAGGGCATGGATACGACAGCCGATTGGCCCTCCGCCAGCACCAAATTCGTCCACCACGCGCCAGTGGGGAACGGCACGTCGGCCAGCAGCTTTGGACGTCCATCCGACGACGTGTTGGCCACGTGAGCGTCCAGCGGTAAGTGTTCTGAAGCTGCGAATAGGCTCGAGGACAGCTGAAGCGGGTGCGACGCCACGGGGAACGGCAGCTGCAGCTTAAGGTCGCTGCCCACGGCGGAGACGCATTGCACGTAGCTCCAGAGCAGCAACAATGCGCCGCCGACAACTCCAGTCATTTTGCTTGACTGGTGTGCGGGGCTGGGATCTAATAAGGAAGTGAGAAGATGGGAGCAGCATCAGATTGCGTGGGTCATTCACAAATGCAATTTATATGAGCGTTTGTATGGTGAAAAACGGAAACCTTTCACCTGAGTTTGACCACCGATCTTCTGGCTCACCTGCGATTTGTGCGATCTGAGTCGACGCAATTCTGGATTACTGGACGTGTCGTCTATTACTGACCGATCGTGAACAGTATTCACACGTACTGTAACTGGATAGGCAGCGTCCAATTCACAGGTTATCCCAGAAGCATTCAACTCCTCGTAACGCGAGCAGTGACAAACGACAGCTTGTAGAGATCAACTCGATGCTCATACATATTTACCATTGCTTCGGTGGTCATGATCCGCACGACCGTTGAAGTGGCATTTCAGCCAAGGCCAATTCAGATTATCAGGCCATTTGATATGGCACAAGGCCTCAACCAAAGAATCTTGCCAATTTCTAGGGTATATTCTGCTAAGAGGCCGCATTCCCGAAGAAGCGAAATGCGCTGGGCTCGCGACAGTCTCTATGTTGACAGAGGTTAATTAAAACTCTTTAGCTAGAAGTTTATCTAGAACTTAAAAGTTCTTCATAGGCAATCATGAGCCCAAGGACTTTGCACCATATACGTGTAGGGCTACCATTGCAGCACATCGAGCACCTGCAGATGGCCGCCCTGGCAAGCGCACTTCTCAAGTTGAGACTGGGAGAAGACGTTGATCTCAGCAAGATTTACATCAATCGTTGTGTTGTTGAACTTGTCAGCAATTCTGTCTGCAAACTTCTCAAGGACTGTATCGAGGAAACATAACTTTCAAGCTTCGTTCCACGCCAAAAAAAATGTTGGCGCTGGCAGTCAAATTTCAACATGTAATTTAGTCCACTCAAAATCTGCGATTTAGTCTCCCAAATACATTTTTATAGGCAATCCCATGGAGGCAAATGCGCAGGTAGGCACTGCATTTACAGCGCTTCGTGCACGTCACCAGCGCTGAATATCTCAAAGCGAGCAGTGTTCTTAATATTGCATTTCTCCTCCATATCTGACCATAGCTGATTTCTTCGCAATTTACTTGTTTAGTATGCGCTGCACGACAATGAAGCGGCGCCACCAGCATGGGCAGCTCGAGTGCGGCTCACACCCGAACTGCTGCAGAAGCTTCGACAAGACCCGCAGCAGGTTCTGCTCAAGCTAAACACAGCAACTGATGACGGAGCGCCCAAGGCTCGTGGAAGCAGCAAAAAGACCAGTGTGATGACTGTCAAATTGGCTTCGGACGGCGAAGCGGAGGAGACGGAAGAGCAGTACGAGTTACTGTCGTTTCCGGAGGATCCAAGCATCAATCACGTCTGTACCTATAGGCGAGAAACAGGCGATGGAGCAACTGGCGGCTACAGTATTTATAAGACAGGTGCAATCCACCAGAAGCTGCTGGTGCAACGACTGCTGGACGCCACGGAGAAGGATCGCATTAAGGATAAACATGCCAAGTCTGTGCTTGCATCCAAGTCACGTGCGTCGAAGCTAATTGACTCGGAGCTAGAGAAACCTGCGAAAAAGCAGCGACTGACAAGGCTGTCGAGTGTACCAACTTCGAGGACGTCTGGAGGGGGCAGTGCGTGGTCCATTGCATCAGGCCACAAGCGGTAAGTTTCCAAGCGGATTAGTTATGAGGTGGAAATGTACGAGGAAACTGACTCTGATCTGGCCCAGGACAAGGAAATTGATGCTTCCATCAGCGTTAACGAAGGAGGATGCCAAAGAGGCTAGAGAGAGGATTGAAAACCGGTTCGAAGTCGAGGTGGAAGCTGCACCAAATGTATCTAGATCAGAGGAGAAAACAGCTGAGTGCGAAACAGGAGACAGCGAGATCGAGGAGGCTCCAACAGTAGTTGTGAGTAAGGATACTGCAGCCGCCGCTCGTGATGCCGAGTTTCATGCTCTTTTTTCGTCGGATTCTGAAGACGACGACAACAAGGTGGATCGAAGCCAAAAGCAAAGGAAGAAAAAGAAATCATGGAAGGGGCATACAAGCACTGCTGTACCAAGTGTAGACGAACAACATGAAGGCAAGTCGGTCGCTGGAGCAATGAATAAGGGATCTCTAATTTCAGACTCGGATGCAATTGCTCAACCGAAGGAGTCTACAAGCCCGGCAACAGGAATTGGCACCACCAACGAGCCATCCAAGAACGAATCAAGTGCTACAGAAGTGAAAAAGAACGAGGAAAGGCTGGATATCTACGCGCTGAAGCCTATCAAGCCGTCAAGTTCTGGCATCGAGGTTAAGCGTGCGAGGGTGCGCTCAGCGCTCGTATCCGATAGGGTGAAGCAGGCGCGTTTGCCCGACCTGTCGTTCTTCCCGTCTGCTGTTGTACAGATCTGTCAGCGACTAGCGAACTACCATGGTCGGTCGATAATCCTCGATGAGAGCGACTACAACGCGTTCGTGGAGACGCACGAGCAGTTCCGACAAGACTGGGAAATGCTGGACAAGGTGGGAAGAGGAAGGAGTAACTACACTCTAGTGACTTTAACGTAGCTTATTCTTGTTTTTTTTTTTATTATTTCCTGAACAGGCTTATTCCATCGAGATGATCAAGACAGAGGGTCTGCACCTGCAGCTTGAAGTGGCGTCGCCGGACAGCAATCTAGAGCAGCTCCAACAACGGATAGAAGCCTCCAGTAGCAAGAAAGCGGTGCGTCGGTGGCAGTTCTTAGTAGTGGGAGTTTTCAGTAGATGACGTTGCTATCCTTGGTCTTGCAGGGTCTGCTGTTCGTTCGGGACGCCATGGCGAGCATCCAGAAGATTTTGCACAGCATCCAAGTGTCCGTCGACCGCTTTAACATGAAGGCGCACACGTCGCAGACCACATCTGATTTACACAATATTAAGTGAGTTTGTGTTTTCCACACATCAACTTTCCACATTACACAATCTACCGACACGAGGCAGCTCCTACAAGCGCCGTCGCCAAGTAGCCAGCGAACAGTACGCGCATAGAGCAGAGAGAAGTCAATCAGCTACGACACAATGCAGGGAGGAGACTCGCGAAGCCTCACGGAGCCGCCGTTCATCGCGCGTGTGAGCGTCTCCATCAAGAGGTACGCCTCTACATAGGGATCTTCACTTATGGGGGGACAAGATCGACAGTTTACATGTAAACTACCTCAGCTCTACTCCCTCCATATATAACAACCGTAGCTAATATCATTGGTATTGCAAATGACAGGAAATGGCAGTATCTGTTGGACAAGAGCACTATCCATGTGTACGGACGTTGGGGTGTGGCACTGGGCCTATTGGCGCTCTACCTCGTGCGCGTGTTCTACCTCAACGCTTTCCACATCGTGACCTATGGCCTGGGTATCTACCTGTTGAACCTGTTCATTGGCTTCTTGTCACCGCAGATGGACATGGAGAGTGACGGCCCGCTACTACCGCACAAGCAGAGCGAGGAGTTCCGGCCGTTCACACGCCGCGTACCTGAATTCCAGTTCTGGTACTCGACATTCAAGGCCACCATCGTGTCGCTGCTCATGACGCTCAGCAGCGCCTTTGACGTGCCTGTCTTCTGGCCGATCCTGCTCATCTACTTCATCGTGCTCTTCGCGCTCACCATGAAGCGCCAGATTAAGCACATGTGGAAGCACAACTACGTCCCATGGGACCATGGGAAGCAGGTCTACAAGGGCAAGAAGAACGCCAAATAGACGCCCACGCAGTGCAGCGACGGCAGAACCAAGAGCATAGGAAATCACCTGTCATTGCAATTGGGCCAAGCCTAGCAGACATGTAGCAGAAAAAAGCTCGAGAGGACAAGTTGCAGGCCAGCCGTATTGACTATGGATAAGTGTGGAGCTGGCAGTGGATTGTCAGCCCTAGGCATAAAGTGAATCTACCCAACATCTTTACTCACGAATGAAGTATACTTTTACAAATTTGTGTTCCTACACGAAATAGAGCAATCATTTGCACTATTTCGTGTAGGCAACACAGCCGTATCGAAGCACCACTTTGCTGTTGACATGACACCGATGGCGCCGCGGTGGTGGCTGGGAGCGGCGGCGTCTGGGCGGCGTCTAGGGCGTTGGCGAGCGCTATCGCTGCGCACACAGCGAGTCAGAACGCCCAGCTACGAGTGTCGTGCGTTTTCCGTGCTGGTGTCGGTCCCGGATCCCCGTGAGCGGCGTCCAAATGCAGTTAAACCGCAGATCCGAGCACTCGTGCTGCGTCGGGCCATGAGCACGGTGCCGCCCAACGAATCCGATCAACAGAAGCAGCAGCGCGATTTGGAGGCCAAGACGGCGGCTCGAATCCTCAAGCAGAAGCTTAAGAAGGACATGGAGACGGCCAGGAACCTCGTATGAACATTGGAGGCTGAACTGCATACTACTATTTCTAACAAGGATCTTGTGGCTTCAACTCTGACAGGCCATGCACCAAGTGGTAAACATACCCAACGTTATTACAGCGGCACGGATCCTGGCCACGCCCTATCTAGCACATCTGATCATCCAAGGAGACCACGTCTCAGCCATCGGCTGTACGAACGGCTGCCAATTGCTACTAGCCAATTTGGCCACCAAGCTAACTATTTATTATTGTTATTATTACTGTAGTACTGGCGGTGGCGGGGGTGTCTGACTGGCTGGACGGCTTCATTGCGAGGACGTTCCATCAAGAGTCGATCGTGGGTTCATTCCTGGACCCGTTCGCAGACAAACTGCTGATCGGTACTTTGTCGCTCAGTATGATGTGGACGGGGTTGTTGCCACTACCGCTGGCGGCGCTGATTTTGGGTCGGGACGGTTTGTTAATTGGCGGCACGTTTTACCACCGACTGAAAACCAAGGACGAATCCTCTGGATTCTTCGACACCTCCGATAGTGGAGCCTTCCAGGTCAAGCCATCGATGCTGAGCAAGGTCAACACTGCACTGCAGCTGTCAGTCTTCGGACTTACACTTACCAACGCAGCGTGGCAGATTCCCCCGGACCCGGCACTTCATCTTCTTTTGTACGATGATACTTATATAATGATTGGATGCTCGAGCTTTGACTCATGGTTCGTTGTGTGTGCAGTGGTGCTGTTGGCACAACAACCTTCCTGTCCGGATCCGAGTATTTGTACGGATATATGACCAAGACTGGGGCGTTCAAGCCCCTTCCAAAAGCTGTTGAGCGGCCACTTCGCAAGGCAGTGGAAAGAACCGAAGCGGTTATAGAACGCACTGAGGCTGTGGTCAAGCGCACTGAAGAAGTGGTTAAGGTTCCGCTTCAGAAAGCAGTCCAGCGCACGAAGGAGCGGCTGAAAAAGTAGAAACGTTAGACAGCAATTGTGCTACTGCAGAGTCGAAGAGATGGGAAACGAGAGATCTTGAGAACCCCGAACAGGTGTGTGATTTTAACTTGTGTTGTTATTTACCTATTACAGTACAGGCTATTAAAGTACAGGCTCCAAATCGAAATTCCCGCGGCTTCGAAACACTTTATTGCATCATGAGTTTGACTGCAGTTTGTACGTGAGCAACGTCAGTAAGAAAATTTCCACCATAAAAATTATGCAACAACTCGAAGTTCCTCAAAACCAATCATTGTTATCGTCGTTGCTTACAGCTTTAACATTTCTTTACGATAGACACAGTGGACACTATTGCAGTCGATTGAGTTCGCATTTGGGAGGCAAAATTCTGGCATCAGTTCGCGTTACATAACGATTCTTCCACTCATATTCGGATTTTACTTTACAGATTTCACTACAACTCAACAATCTTGCCGGAATACACTCCTTTCGCTCTATCTTCTTCATTCGAAGGTAGCTCATATTCACCTGCATCTCTGCGTTCTGGAACGGGAGCGAGGCCTCTTCTTCGCCTCAGTTCACGCTTGAACGCCCAGTTGGTGAAAAGCACGCAGTTGCCGCCCACTAGCATGCCTCCTTGGAGGTCTTGTGCTCGATAACTGCGCGGAACTTCTACAGGCGGCTCAACATAGTCGTCTTCATTATCAGCGTCGCTGTCGAATATGTCACTGCACTGTTCTTCGGAATTGTCCGAATCACCGAGAAGCTCTGCATCGCCAGCGCTCAGATTGGCATTGGATTCGGCGATGTACTTCATCAGTTCCTCTGTGTAGCTATGCTCTTCGTTATCTTCACTGACAGTGGAGCGCACTGGTTTGCGTCGACTTGCATCTAGATTCACGTCCATAGGGCGCTCTCGAGACCCGAAAACCTTCTTGAGCCACGCGTCGCTGGCACTAGGCGCTACCATGACCGGCTCCATCGGCTTGGGCGTCGCAGTGAGAGGAGGCATCACGCTTATGATTCGGGTACCTGGGACCGTCACCGAGGATTTGAAAGTGAAGTGGAGTGATCAAAAGAGACCAAATGGCAATTGCAGGCTGCATGGAGGTGACATGGATTATTTGCGAGAACTCATGAACAATTTGTCTCAGCGACACGCCCACCATTATCACATTGAAGGCTGAGGAAGAGTGCTATTCATTCTAGTGTCACTACTGCTATCGGCTGCCTCGTTCTTCACTCTTATACATGACAAACTCGTCTTGGACGGACTGGTCCGAGCTCATAATGTACTTCCACACCAGCGTCGTGCGGTTCGCCTCTAGCATTGAGTATCCGAAGTGTTCATAGTCCGACACGGTGTTCCACGATGCAGTGTGAGTCGGTGGTTTTGACATGCCTTCAACCTGACCAGCGCCACCCGTCAAAATGTGCACGGGGGCTTGCGGGTTGTCGTACACTTTATGGTCGTCTGAAACGCCGTCCAGATCAGCTTTGTTCTTAGCGACGGGAAGGTTTCGTTCGTAGTAGTGTTTGTGGCCTGCCAGCACCACATCCACCTTGTACTTGAGTAAAAGCTCTTCAAATGCTGCCTGGATCAACGCGGTTTGCTCGTTTGGCACGTCGTTCTCCGAGTTTAGGACGCTGTAGAGCGGACGGTGCATACCGACGAAGATCCACGGAACGTTGGCGCGGTTGGCGTTTGCCTTCTTGAGATCCGCTTCGATCCAGCTCAATTGGTCCCCGAAGTTGCCATTGTAGACCCAAGGCGTCATTCGGTTTGAGGGCGCTCCAGGGTAGTCGGTCTCGGACGAAATCGAAGTGAAATGGATCGGGCCGTGGTCGAATGAGTGCCACATATTCAGTGTACCACTGCTCTCCTCGTAGGGCATCTTGAACCGGGTGTTGTACGCAGTGTAGTTGCCCAACGCGTTTCGTTTTTTGCGCGAAAGTTGGCACACTGGCGAGTGACATTCAGCTTCGTGGTTGCCTACCAACACCATGTACGGGACACGGCTCATCAGTGGCATCAAGGAGTTCATCCACTTGTTGTATACTTCCTCGTAGAAGAAACCTGCGGCTTGCTTCAAGGCCAAGAAATCGTCGTCGGCGTACGAGATATCGCCGAGGTGATACACGAGATCGATGTCGTCCGAGGTGAGTTTGTTCACGTTGGCAATTGTATCGACCGAGTTCTCGCCGTCTCCAAGATCACCGTAGATCAATACGTTAAATGTACTATCGTCTGTAGCTGGTCGTGCCGTAATGAACGAAGTGACATCACTTGTGTACTTCTCGTCACCTCTACTTCCCACTTTGTAATAATACTTGGTCCGTGGTTTAAGGCCGGTGATTTTCGCGTGATGGTGGAACAAATTGTACTCCTTGTCGCTGTAGTAACTAGCACTAGACACCGGCGTGTCGACCAGTTCCAGCGTATCCTCAGAATCTCCCACCCACACGGAGCTGTCGGTCACATCTTCGAACGTCGCCCACGACACTGTCATAGCCGTACCAGGTTTCTTCCCTGCAAACGCCAAGTGGATCTGCTGCGGATAGAAGTTCACGCCATCCTTGACTCGACAGGACTGGTTGAAGGTGAGGTCTCCGATGTTGTAGTTATACTCGCAGAGACTCGTGGGCTCACAGACGTCCAGCACTTTGTTTCGGTAGCACGTGTTGTCATCCACGATGACATTCGCCTTGACAACGGCAGTAGCCAGAGCTACCAATGACAGCAAGAGCGCACGCATCGAAGGCGTTCGACGCGAAGAGAGACAAATCAAGAGTGAATGGCTGAAGAGCGAGACTTCATCCCATCTCAAGAACAATGCTGGGCATTGCCCACTGGGCAACACGGAGTTCCATAGTCAGAGATCCTACCGCCAATGTGACAGCGGTCTTGCGCAGCGACTTTGGTTATGCCAAGCTTTTTTTTTTCTGTCCGTCCAAAAGCTGGTTCACATGTCAAGCACGTGAAAAGTAACTTTGTGAGAAAACCTTACAGAAGTCTTTGCTATAAACATGATCTCTGATCTCCAAAGCGAGCGTATCTGAGTACCGTTCCGCTGGCGAGTTACAACGAGTTTGTCTGCGAAGGGCCTGGAATCTATAGGGAGTTTAAGAGACACAGGTCGCAAATTTTCCATAGCTCCTTTACTCCGCAATTTGAATTGCGCTTCGAATTTCATCGTTGTATATTTTCGGTAACATCTTGCAAATTGGGTTAATCACAAGAAAGTAATACAGTATCAGGCATGCCTCGTGATCGATGACCTTACCTGTCGAAATGCCCGCACCAAGGGTAATGATTTCGCGGTAGAATCTCGTACAGACTGCTAGAGGCTCGAATCGTTCTTGAACATGACGAATTCATCTTGCACCGACAGGTCAGAGCTCGCGAAGTACTTCCACGACAGCATCGTGCGGTTGGCTTCCAGTGTTGAGAAACCGAAGTGGGAGTAATCGAACGCTGCATTCCACGGCGCGGTGCCGTCAGGTGCGTCACGCAGATTCTCCACGTTGCCAGCAGCACCAGTCAAAATGTACACTGGCGCCTGAGGGTTGTCGTAGACCTTGTAGTCGTCCGACACGCCGTCCAAAACGACGGAGCTGTTTGCGATAGGAAGTTGACGCTCGTAATAGTGTCGGTGGCCGGCAACTACCACGTCCACCTTGTACTTGAGAAAAAGGGACTCAAACGCTTGTTGGAGATACAAGTTGTCGTCCTTCGGAACGCCGTCGTCACAGCCGGCCACGTCGTAGATTGGTCGGTGCATACCGACAATGATCCATGGCACATTATCGCGGTTCGCGTTGGCCTTCGCCAACTCAGTCTCCAACCAACCCAGTTGATTGCCAAAGTTCCCGTTCTTGTTCGTCAAAGTGTATGCGTTCGTCGGCGAGTTGGGGTAGTCGGTTTCAGTCGATAACGACGTGAAGTGGATTGGACCGTGGTCGAACGAGTGCCACATATTCAACGCTCCATCGCTCTCTTTGTACGGCATTTTCCATCGAGAGTTGTATGCCGTGTAGTTGCCAAGCATGTCCTTCTTCGCTTGTGACAGTTGGCAAGCTGGAGAATGACATTCGGCCTCGTGGTTGCCAACCAAGACCATGTACGGGACGGAGCTCATGATGGGGGCCAACGAGTTCATCCATTTGTTGTACACTTCTTCATAGAAGAATCCTGTGAGTTGAGATGCTACGAGATAGTCGTCGTCCGCGTAAGACATATCACCAAGTTGGTAGATCAAGTCGATGTCGTTTGCAGTCTGCGAGTTCATGTAAGCAATCGTATCAACTGAATTGTCACCATCACCGGCGTCTCCGTAGATGACCACATTGAACGTTGAGGTGTCCGAAGCAGAGCGGGCTGTCACGAACGAATACATGTCGCTCTGGTACCTCGCGTCGGCCTTGCTGCCGACCTTGTAGTAGTAATTGCTGTGCGGTGTTAGATCCGTCACCGTCGCGTGGTGGTGATACATATGATACTTGTCGTCGTGGTAGTAGTTGATACTCTCGACTGTGGTATCCACGATCTTCAGCGCATCGCTACTGTTGGCTGTGCCGACCCATAACGAGCTGTCATTTACCTCTTCGTATGTCGCCCAAGACACCGTCATCCCCGTCCCAGCCGTCTCTCCTGCGAAAGCCAAGTGAATCTGCTGTGGGTAGAAATTCACTCCTTCCTTCACTCGACACGATTCGCTGAGTGTCAAGTCACCGGCGTTGTAGTTGTAATCGCACAGCGCTGAAGGCTGGCAACCGAGTGATGACAGTGAATAATTCCATACGCAGACGCTATCGTCCACGAGGACAGTTTTGGCTGCTACCGATACAACCGTAGTAACCAGAAACCCGAAAGCCCAGATTTTCATCCTTGAATGGAGACACTATGCCTCGTGTCCTTGTAGGTCGATTTAGTACTGGCTAGTGCAATGGTCCATTGGCAATGAACCTACACAGGACGATGTGAGACCTCAACGCGGTCACGCATACGTGTACAGATGTATGTAGTAGAGTAAAAGCGGACTCCGCTTCAAACGGACGAGACCCCCGGTAAGAATGACCTTGACGAATCCCTGGAAGTCATCAACTCATCATCCACAAGATGTGAGTTGCGTCCATGTGCTGGGTGACGGTGACCACGATGTGAACGTGACATACAGGCATATGGTAGGGCTTTAACCGCCCTCTCAAGCTTACTCCCACAAAGTGAAGATGAATTAGTGCAGTCGAATGAATAAATGTGTTTTACTACCATCTCCCTATACTTTGTGGCTATTTCATGCGTTGGTCTCGTTGATTTTCATGCGTCTGAGATCACGAAGATATTCCTCTGGCACGCCTCTCTTCTCCAATTTCTGAAGAGTATCGATTCTCACCTTCTCCGCTAGAATACTCTCTTTCATCGCCTTCTTCTTGAGGAACTTGGCATCGTTCTGCTCGAACATCTTGGCCTTCACACGTCGCTGTTCATTGGACTCAATTTGCTGCATCAATAGATCTCCGTGCTTAAGATCGCGCTCCTTTGCGGCGGCTTCTGCGGCTTTGAGACGTTGGTACTCCCGCTCAACCTGCTGCTGTCCGATACGATCCGTGTTGGCGTCTAGCGCTCGCATCCGCTCAGCCTGCTCAGCGTGGAAAGTCTCCTGTTTCTTGCGGTCTTGCAAGATCGACTGCATCAACGCGATTTTCCTCTCCTTATCGCGTTTCTCCTTCAGTCGCGTGTTCTTTTCGGTCTCCTCGTACGCTTTCTTAGCTCGGAATTCGTCCTGAATTGCCTGTTTGTCTTGTGCCTTCTCTTGTTGGGCACGCAGTTTGGCGGTACGTAGCTCCTTCGACTTGCGAATTCGAGCCTCTTCCTGGAGTTTGGCTTCTTCTTCTAGAGCTTTCTTGCGCAGATACGCTGCCGCAGCCATTTCCTCCTTCTTATCTCGAATAACCATCTGCTCCTTCATGTATTTAATCTGCTCGTTCGTCTGCGCCACCTGACGCATCGTCTCTTTCTGCCTCTCGCGATGCTGTTCGAGCTTCCTCTGCTCATCCACCTCGTACTGCTTGTAGATCTTGAGGATCTTTTGAGCCTCAATATCCTTAGCCTCTTCCTCGCGGATAGATTGTTTGTGACGCTCTGCAATCTGCTCCTCAAGCACTTGGCGTGCCTCCATCCGCTTAGCGTGTGCCTCGATTTCGGCATCTTTCCGCCTCTGGATGTCGCGACGGCGGTCGCGTTCCATGATACTGTCGTGAATGGTGTTATACCGAGCTTCGGTCACTTGTCGTTCCTTTTGATGTGTCTTTAGTGTGTCACAGAGCTGATAGCCTGTGGCCGCTATGGATAGCGAGTTGATCTTACGTAGCGACTCGAGATGCTGGTTGTTGATCATCTCGTTGCCCGTGAGCAGCGCCTTACGCTCGGCCTCCAGCTCCATCTCCATGGCTGATTGCTCACGTCTTGCACGCACTTCAATCTCCTTCTCCATCATGCGGCGCTTGCGTTCCTCCGACTCGTGCCTAGACACTGCTTGCTGCGCTTCGCGCTCTGCTTTGAGCTGTTGGGCTGCTGCATCCGTCAGGATAACCGAACGTTGCTTGATCCGCTCGAGCTCACTCTTGGATACAACGCGTGATAACCCGGCAATGTCCTTGCCAGCTAATCGAGTCACCGACGATCGTTGCTGCGTGGGTGGTGTCTTAACAGTCATGACGACGTGAGGTGCAACAACTTGTGTGCGCACCAAAAGACACCAACAAAGGGTAGCCAAGTTCTATTTTTGTCCATCTTCAAAAATAGAACTGCGAACTTAATAATATCGTACTTAATCTAGCGCACGAACTTAATGATTTGTGTACATTTGAGCATCATACTGGACACCAGTCGTTTGTAGATGGCAGGCAAGCGGAAGCGCGACGCCTTCTCGGCGCACGAGAAGCTAGTGCACAAGAGCTGTTCGCTGCTGCAGCGTGAGGCGAAAAAGGTGCGCACGTTCCTGGTGCGCAAAGTGGTGCAGCAGCTGAAGCAGCTCCGCCAACAGCTCACAGAGCCAGTGGAGGATGCGGCCAAGCAACAGAAGCGAGAACAGAAGCTGCGCCACAGTATCGAGCGCTTCGAACGCGAGCACACGGCGCTCAAGACGCTAGATCTGCAGAAACTAGTGGCTAGAGCCAGACTACAGACTGGCCTCGACAAGCCTCAGCCACAGACTGAGGAAAATGAGCACGAGGAGGTAGAAGAATGGGACGAGGAAGGCAGCGACGAAGAGAGTAGCGAGGAGAGCGAGGGAGAGCAGGAGACGGAGAAAGATGAATCTGTAGTGCAGCAGAGGTCCATTGTTGCTGAGAAGGAGGCGGAAGAGAAGGAGCAGCAGAAGGAACCCACTAAGCAGAGCACAGAGCTCGAGGAGAAGTTGATGGACCGTGTATTGGCTCACAAGCAGATCGTGCCGCTGCTTGACGCTATTAAGAAGCTAGTGGAGAAGGAGGAAAAGGAGGCTGAGAAGAAGCGACGTGCGCAAGAGAAGCGTGCGCTGAAACGCGGACGCCACGAGTCGCTGGTCGGCAATACTGGACGCAGTGGAGTAGCCCCGACTTCGTTGTTCCTTGGTTCTCTATCTGGACGTGGAGGTCTGGATGATGATCTGGATATGGGTATGGATGGATATGGCACAATGGCTGGTGCAGACGATGATATTGCGGAGTTCCTGGGTGAAAAGAAGAAGAAGAAGAACCGACCTGGTCAGATGGCACGTCGCATGAAGGCGATTCGTAAGGAGGAGGCTCTAAAACGCAAGGAAGACCGCGCTAAGGGAATCTTTGTGCCGCACAAGGACAACTCGACGTCAGTTGGTAAGTACGGACTGTCAGAGCGACCGAAGAAGGCCAAACCGAAGGCTAAACAGGGCAAGGGAGACAAGGCAGACAAGCAAAAGTCGCGTAGTGGCAAACCTAGTGAAGCTGCAAAGGCAGAGCCACAGAAGCAGAAGCAACGTGTCGCTCCTGCTCCAGTTGAGGCTGCACACCCGTCGTGGCTGGCCAAGCAAAAGCAAAAGGAGAAGGAGAAGATCAGTTTGACCGCCTTCAGTGGCAAGAAGATCACGTTCGACTAGCTTTTAACCAGATAGACAATCAAAAAGAAGGCCAGAGGGCAGTCTGCTGCCCAATTGCCGGTATATTGTGTTGATTCCAGTGATTTCTTCTAGCTGCGGAACATCTTGGCAACCTGGTGGGCCAGACTGCTGTCCGTTGGCGCGCACTGTCGACGCAGTTCCGGGATTTCGTTGCTCACGATGTTGTCGAGTGCCGCGATCTCCGAGTTCTTGAGCTTCGGCATCATACTGAAGCCAAGTGTGTGTGCTGCCACCTGCAGCGACGGCAACACGCGCTTCCACAGCGACAAGACGTACTCGTCTCCCTCGGCCAACTGACGGCCGTATCGGCGACGGAACAGCTCACCTAGCGAGTCCTCATGCAGTAGATCACGCTCCAGTTGAGCCATCACAGTCGAGTTGTGCCACACCACGCCAGCAGATGCCAAGACACTGGCAACGGACAGTCCGGCCGCAGCTTCGATGGGGACTCCACTCGCCAACGCCGAAGCCGCGAGTGCGTTGCCTCCAATGAACGTCGCAGCCACAAGAGCCGAACGACGCCACTTCTCACTAGCATAACGAGCGCGCAGGTCTTCGAAGACTTCAGCGTGCATCTTGAGCAGCCGTGACGAGTCGTACAGATTGGTGATGAGGTTGTCGACGCGACGCTCAGGAGCGCGTTGAACCTCACTCACCACTTCCTCGCGCATAGCGTCCAAGTCCTTCATTGAAGCTCCTAGACCTTCTGCGGCTTGCATCTGGTTGTCCTTAGTCGGGATGCACATAGTGTAAATGCGCGGGAGATCCTTGAGCGGGATGACCTTGCTCAGGTTCCAGCAGAGCGAGCCGTACGCACGCGCAAAGTCGTGGATCTTGCGGAACTGGTCCACTTTGTTCAGCACGAGGTGCAGTTTGTGGTCCATGCCAACAAGTGAGCGCGTCAAGATCGACAGCGTCTCACCGGTTGTGCCGGGTTTGTCCGGGTCGAAGAAGAGCAGGATCACGTCGGCGCGCTCGGCGTACCAGCGCACAACCTCCGGGAATTCATATCCTCTGTCCGAGTCTTGGCCCTTAAAGCTGTTGCTCTTTTGCTGTTGAGGCGATAGACGACCACTGGGGCCACCGTAGTTGAACTGCGACTGGTGTGGCGGACTGTGCGGCGAGTCGATCATTCCGGGACTGTCAACGAGCATGAAGTTGGCCTGGATGCCCTTGCGCACCTTGAGCTGCGTGCGCTGGATGAGTGCCGGACCGTAGACGCGCAGGCCGGAGAAGCCCAGGTCTGGGTCGCCCACAAGCGCCGGGCCGTCCTGGTCCAGATCTTCGCGGCCCGGTGCGATGATGGTGAAGCCGTCATCTGTGGGAGCCACGCCTGTGGACTGCACATCGCGCTGTAGCAGGTAGTTGATGAAAGAAGACTTGCCGGACGAATGGTTACCCAATAGGAACACAAAGGGAAGCGATGGCAGCTTCTCCTCGCGGTGTTTGCGGTCCAATGGTCCAAGTAGCTTCTCGTTTAGAGGCAACAACACGTTCGTCTCCAGGCGACTAGTCTGCTGCATGAGCCGAATCCACTTCTCGTCATCGACAGCACGATCTCCCGCGATGGCCTGCGACGCGGCCAGGGATGATAAACGGCGGGATGCCAGCAACGGCCGGCGCAGAGCTCCTCGACCCAATGCGCGCAGCATTATCGCTTCAAATTTGAGCCCCTGGAGTGTTGGCTGTGTCGTTTGTGTATACCACATATATTGCTGGTTTTATGCAACAAAACCCGCGCTTGAATGACTTGAGTCGACTTTAGTGACGCGTATTTCTAAAAATGGCTACACTGCAAAATCAGCCTCTCGTGTCTCCTCACGCTGGGAATCCGATCCGAAGTCTACGAACGATATCTTAGTGATCGCTTTACCAAAATGAGTCGCCTTCAATGGTATCCTCGCTATCTGTCTATCAAACGATACATCTTCCAGGCACCTTCAGACTCCTTCTACTATAAGTACTAGTAGTAATTAATTCGCGACCAGCACATGTGTAGCTCGACAATGTTTTTATTTTAACTGTACCATTTTCCATCGAGCTGCCGACGACAGCCAAGCAGGGAGGGACCAATAACGTCACCAAAGACTCGAAGCACCAGCTAACAGTCTACCCACTCACCACCTCTCAGCAGCTACTACAGTACCTAAAGTACCACATACGTACACAGTGACGTACTTCACTGCACTGCACTTCAACGCAGCAACTTAGTCGCGGGCGTCGAACACCGACAGCAGCAGCTCGCCGTAGTCGCCACTCACCTCCTCGGCGATGCGCTCGCGCAGCTCCTTGCCGAACTTCTTCTTGTACACCGGCTTGATGTCACGCAGCACAATGTGGTAGCGCACCACGGCCGAGCTCAGAGCGTTCTCGTCCGTGCCGAAGCCCTTCATGGCCTCCTCGAACAGCTCAGCCAGCAGGTCCAGCGGCTCCGTGATCATACGGATGAGGAACAGCACGGCCTTCTCAGCGTCGCCACGGAACTCGTGCGCCGCAGCCTTCACAAGCGACTCCTCGTACTTCTTCTCGTAGGCAGCGGCCACAGCGCGTAGGTGCTCGGGCGGACTGGCCACCAGAACACCGATGAAGCCCTCCTCGTCTGTACCCATCTTGCCACGGCCCGTCTTGTACAGCTTCTCCACGTCAGCGTCCACCTTGGCGGCGTTGTGGATGTTGGCGTCGTACGGCACCAGCGCGGCCTGCAGCGACGCCAGGATCACCTTCTTGAAGTCACCGTGCAGGTCGCCGTCCAGCACAGAGCCCAGGTCCTCGCCGTACGTCTCGTAGTACGTCTTCTTGAGGATGTTGATCTCGACGTTGGTGCGGCCCACGACCACGGGGTAGATGAGGTCCTCCTTCGTGCCCAGACCCTTGGTGGCCTTGCGCAGGATACCGGCCTCCGCCTCCGGCAGGGGCGACGCTAGCAGCTTGAGCAGGAACTCGTAGTGGCCCGACGTCTCGTCATCCAGCAGGTCACGCAGGCTCTGGTTGTGCAGCTCCTTGTAGCGCTTGGCGATGAAGCCGCGCTCCGTGGCCGTCTTGCCACCCAGTGCCTTGTTCAGCTGCTTCTCCTTGGTGCCGGCGCCCTTGGTGGCCTCGTAGATCTCGTACACGGTCGAGTCCGTGCCAGCCGGGTACGAAGGCGGCTGGCCGTTCCAGGCGCTGTGCGTGGCGGGCGGGTACAGGTTCAACATCTTAGTTGTTAGAAGAAGAGGGAGGGGGGTCTTGAATCGACTTGCGAAGCAGGAGGCGGATTTGGAAATGGCAATGGAAGATATCACTGAGGCCGTCATTTTGGCTCGGGCAACTTCAATTGGATTCTCGACCTGTCTCTGGTATTTTATTTTCGACTGATTTTTGGTATTGGAAATCTGATGCTTGACATTCGAGCAAAGCTCCGACAAACAGGACAGGATCAGCTGGAAATTGGAGCTCAAGACTCCATCGGTATTTTCATATTGTAAGCTGTTCTCTGTTCTTGTAAGAATGATGTTGTTCATGTTTAGGTACTGGCAAGCATCTTTAAAAGCAATAGAGCTAGCCAAGTTGATGCTATAATGTTGCTCGGCCATCACTGAGTTACATAACAGCTTCATTTCATTGCGTCCAACTTACATTGGTGAGATGGCAGGTTGTTCGTCACGTATTGGGCCAGGAAGCTCACTTGCCAGCGGCTCCATGAATCAGCCAAATCCAAGTTATCCGAGCAACAACACGTGTCGAGGATCGCGGCGCTGCTTGCTTGTCTCTGCTCGGATACTTCACCACGTCAGAGATTTTGTGTGTCGATTTTGTACGGATAAGTTCAGCAGGAATTGAAAACCATTATATGCAGATGAAACGTCTATTTCAAGATATATAGTTTCACAGTGCTTCGTGCTTTTCAATTTAGGAAATAAAAAAACGTATCCAAACGATTTTACACACCGATATATATAAGGAGGTAACTTAGCTGTATCCACCAATTCATACAAATTCTAAGTCAATTATCCAGCAACAGATTGAAGTTCGTGGCAGCCAAAGAATTGATATCTTCCATTGCCATTTCCAAATCCGCCTCCTGCTTCGCAAGTCGATTCAAGACCCCCCCCCTCCCTCTTCTTCTAACAACTAAGATGTTGAACCTGTACCCGCCCGCTACGCACAGCGCCTGGAACGGCCAGCCGCCTTCGTACCCGGCTGGCACGGACTCGACCGTGAACGAGATCTACGAGGCCACCAAGGGCGCCGGCACCAAGGAGAAGCAGCTGAACAAGGCACTGGGTGGCAAGACGGCCACGGAGCGCGGCTTCATCGCCAAGCGCTACAAGGAGCTGCACAACCAGAGCCTGCGTGACCTGCTGGATGACGAGACGTCGGGCCACTACGAGTTCCTGCTCAAGCTGCTAGCGTCGCCCCTGCCGGAGGCGGAGGCCGGTATCCTGCGCAAGGCCACCAAGGGTCTGGGCACGAAGGAGGACCTCATCTACCCCGCGGTCGTGGGCCGCACCAACGTCGAGATCAACATCCTCAAGAAGACGTACTACGAGACGTACGGCGAGGACCTGGGCTCTGTGCTGGACGGCGACCTGCACGGTGACTTCAAGAAGGTGATCCTGGCGTCGCTGCAGGCCGCGCTGGTGCCGTACGACGCCAACATCCACAACGCCGCCAAGGTGGACGCTGACGTGGAGAAGCTGTACAAGACGGGCCGTGGCAAGATGGGTACAGACGAGGAGGGCTTCATCGGTGTTCTGGTGGCCAGTCCGCCCGAGCACCTACGCGCTGTGGCCGCTGCCTACGAGAAGAAGTACGAGGAGTCGCTTGTGAAGGCTGCGGCGCACGAGTTCCGTGGCGACGCTGAGAAGGCCGTGCTGTTCCTCATCCGTATGATCACGGAGCCGCTGGACCTGCTGGCTGAGCTGTTCGAGGAGGCCATGAAGGGCTTCGGCACGGACGAGAACGCTCTGAGCTCGGCCGTGGTGCGCTACCACATTGTGCTGCGTGACATCAAGCCGGTGTACAAGAAGAAGTTCGGCAAGGAGCTGCGCGAGCGCATCGCCGAGGAGGTGAGTGGCGACTACGGCGAGCTGCTGCTGTCGGTGTTCGACGCCCGCGACTAAGTTGCTGCGTTGAAGTGCAGTGCAGTGAAGTACGTCACTGTGTACGTATGTGGTACTTTAGGTACTGTAGTAGCTGCTGAGAGGTGGTGAGTGGGTAGACTGTTAGCTGGTGCTTCGAGTCTTTGGTGACGTTATTGGTCCCTCCCTGCTTGGCTGTCGTCGGCAGCTCGATGGAAAATGGTAAAGTTAAAATAAAAACATTGTCGAGCTACACCTCGGAGCATTTCACAAGTTACCATCAACGCATTGCCCAGTGGAGAGAAACCACCTGCAGCTCAAGCCCCCGGAGAAAATGACCCCGAAGCAGGGTGCTGCATGATATTTAATCGCGTTGTCAGAGGTTGTGACGCTCGTGCATGTTGAGCTGTTGCTGTTCCTGAAGCCAAAAGACTCGTGTTGGCTCCTGCTCACCTGATTTCCACCAGCGGGGCTGATGATGACCTCGCCCCGAGCGCAACCGCCGTCAACCGCAAACACTCCAAATTCGCCTGTTCTCCATCACTTTAGCAAAACATTCGGGATGCTATCGCCACCGAGGCTCTCCTATACTTTTGCTCCTTCAGTAGCGTTTCATTTGGATAGAATTGTCCAGGAGATTGATCATCAGTTGGTTCCGCAGGATACGCGCGGAGTACGTGGTCGTTTCGACTTTGGCTTGGAAACTGATGAGGGGTCTTGCCAAAAGACCTTCCACTCCCCAAGATGCTCGAAGCTAGAACAAATCGCTCCAAGCATGGTGTTTGCTATACGAAGGAATCTAGCCTCACTGTTTCAAAGTGCTGCAAATGGCACAAGGGGCTGAGTTTTGGCTTGCAACGATGCAAACCGGACGTGCTTTCACTTGCCGAGGGACGAGACGGAGCGTAGCGAAACAGCCAGACTATCGACACGGACGGCGTTGCAAGCCTGACTTGACTCTTGGACGTCGTTGCGTCTGAATTTGGCTCGGTATTTTTCATCTGCAGGTTCATGCTTGCACATCTGAAGGACGTCCGCAACGTGCATCCTCCACAGGAATGGGGAGAGCACTGCCCTGACGTTCTCAAGGGGTTAATCTCCGGGATCACCCCCGACTGGCGTGCTCGTGGCGTGTAAGTGACGAATGACCGTAGCAGACTCGTCAACCTACTTTGACCAAAAAGTGCCATTTGAGCTGCTGCTGCGTTAGCGCGTGCGTATCATAGCAAAAAGCATGGAGCATTCTTGTGGCCTCACGCACCACAGGTGAGTGGTACATGCTACTTGCGGAAGTGTCAAATGGGATGACGAGCACTTGTTCATTGCTCCCACTGTGTGCAAACATGCAAACAGAACAATCTAAATATCGTACTTAGTCGAGAGCGAAACTTCCTATGGCACCCCTTGCTTCAGTCTCCACTTTTTGATTGAACACGTCAGTGCCATTCCTGAACCGCAGCCCCCAACAGACAATAGCAACAACACGACAAATAATGACCACGATGGAGTTGAGCGCTTTGCTGGCCAAACTGACGCGTCGCGAGGACCTGACGGACGCGGAAGCAACTTTCGCGGTGCAGCAGATTGCGTCCGAGCAGGCGGCTGAGAACCCCGTGGCGGTGGGCGTTTTATTGGCCCTCTGGCTGCCAAGGGCGAGAGCGCTGCCGAAGTTGCGGCGTTCGCTAAGCACATGCGCTCCGAGGCCATTAATGTCCATGTTTCGGTGCGTTCAGCTGTTATTAAAGAGCTTTAAAGGTTGTGCTGCATCCACTGACGTTTACTTGCTATTGTCGCCTCAGTCCGGTCGGCCGACACTCGATATCGTAGGAACTGGAGGCGACGGCGCCAACACAGTCAACTTGAGCACTGCTGCTGCCGTATTGGCCGCTTCGTGTGGCGCTCTGGTTGCCAAGCACGGCAACCGCTCGGTATCTAGTCGTTCCGGCTCGGCCGACGTGCTGGAGGAGCTGGGCGTGCCAATGCTCAAGCCCCACAATGTGGGCCCGTGCCTCGAGGAGGCGCAAATTGCCTTCATGTTTGCGCCGCACTTCCACCCAGCCATGCGCCATGTGGCACCTGTACGCAAAGCTATTGGTATCCGCAGCGTATTCAACATCCTTGGTCCGCTACTGAACCCGGCGGGATGCAAACGTGTGGTCATTGGCGTATACACTCCCAAATTGCTCGATGTTTTCGGCGAGGTGCTGCTGGCGTTAGGAGTCGAGCACGGGCTGGTCGTACACTGCGCTGGACTAGACGAGCTCAACTCAATGGGCCCGGCTGACGTCGTGGAGGTCCGTCGGGATGCCGAGAAGCCATTCCGCCGCTACGAGTTGCGTCCCGAGGACGTGGGCGTCCCCGCAGTGACTCTGGAACAGCTGAAGGGCGGAGATGCAACGGAAAACGCCGCTATCTTGCGTAAGGTATTCTCTGGCGGTGTGTACAGCGAGTGCCCAGTGGGAAACACGATTGCATATAACGCTGGCGCAGGTTTGTACGTGTACGGATTGGCCGACAGCATCAAGAGCGGCTACGAGATGGCCAAGAAGCAGCTCTCGTCGGGCAAGGCACTGTCCACACTCGACAATTGGGCACAAGTGGCGCAGCAGTTGCACGCCGAGCCCCAACTGTGAACGTTTGATGTCCAGCACAGGCAGATAGGCTCGAAAAAGCCTCCGTAAATGCTCCAGACCCGACAAGATTAGCATGAACAACGACGGAGTGTAAAAATAAGAGGCTAGTTGCTTTGTGACGTTGATTTCGACTCACTCTCATCATTGATTTCAGCCTCAGCATGGACCAAGTTGACGGTGCGGTGGTGTCGGCATCCGACTATGCATACGCTCGACAGCTCGTGCAGGCGTACTTTGCCATGCTAACTGTAGGTTGCCACCGTAATAATTGCATGAACATGTACTGCTGCTCCAATCAGACACAAGCTCTCACAGCGACAGAGGCGGCAATCATGAGCATTTATTTCGCCACAAAAGCTCCAGTGTCGCTGTGCATTGACATTAAGTCGCTGCAACAAGAGGAGACCTTGTCGACGCCAGAAATGTCAGAGCTTCCACGACATGAAAAGATCAAGATGACATCGACTCCAGAACCGCAAGAAGTAGAAGAAAACCAAACTGAGGAGAATGCCCAGTCTTCCATTGAAGAACACGTGAGCAAAGAAGAAGTTAACCCAGAGACGCCCGATGAAGTACCGAAGCTCCAGCAGCCCGAAATTAAGCCCGTTCTTACGACCTCAAGTCCTCCTAAATCGACCCCACGGCGCCGTCTTTCAGTTGCGGTGCAACTGGACAATGGGCTCAACAAGAATCGCGAACTCCCAGTCAAAAGACCCACCGTGATCACCCGCGTCGCTGTCCAGCCCAAGCAAAAGTCCGACATCCATGTCACCCCTAGCATTTCTGTAACCAAAGTTACGGACACTCTTGAACAAGAACAGCAGCAAGAACAAGTAGCACCCAAGGGCGCGCGACAACTGCTGAGTCGACCGAAGCAAAAGTTATTCGATGCCATCAAGCGAAGCTTCTCACGCTCCAAGAAGACCCCACTCGGGTCCACATAGTGACCAAACTAACACCTCAACTGCCTGTCTTTGGATACTAAACAAACCAAACATTAAAGTGAGATAGCCTTCGTTCTTACCCTTGTATATCTCCAATATCTTACACTACTGCTCCCCACTCTTGAGTCGCAGCATTCAAAATCATACTTAAATTCCTTGAATAGGTACGTCATCCGGCATCGCGTTTTCAGCCATAGGCACAGCACCTTGAATAGGCTGTGGGTGCCATGCCGGTACCAATGACAGCAGCAGTCCCACCACGAAGTACTTGACGTCCTGCACGAATCCGCGGTCAGCCGAAATACGCAGCACACGCGTCAATATGCCGTAGTGGTTAGCGACAGCCGCCCCAGCAGCAGCCGCCGCTCCAGGCACATTGCGATCTGCCTGTGCGTTCGGTTCAGCGTCTCCATTGGCACTGCGGCGTCGGTTGTACACTTCATAGAGTTTGGCAAAGATGCCGGTGATGTGAAGGTACGAGATGAAGGAGAGCAGTCCAAGCATGAGGATGCGGTCCAACGGTGTGTCCTGGCCGATGATAAACAGCATGAATGCCATCTTGAGCGCCATGCGGACGTCCAGTAGCGGGAACACTTCACGCGCCATCTCCACCAGCATCGGACGATCCTGAGGCTCCATTGGTGCAGGTGGCGCTTGTGCTTGGGCAGGCGTTGGTGTAGCAGGTGTCGGAGCTGCAGCATGCGGTGTAATATTCGGTCTTGCCTGTGCATGGAACATCTGGGGCTGCATCATGCCGTAGAAATTGCCATAAGGCGCGGCAAATTGACCGAACGCGGCGCCAGGCGTCGGGGCTGCTTGCTGTTGTCGCTGCTGCATCAGCATCATCTGCAGGTACTGGATCTGCTGCATCACCATGGCCTGTTGCTGCATGAGCATGCTCTGTCTGTACAAGTTCTGCTGTTGCTGCGTCATGGCCGGCGTCTGGCCAAACATGAACTGCGGTTGCGTAGGAGTCGTGGTCTCTGGTTGCGTGTTGAAGCTTTGAGGCTCTGCGGTCGCGTTGCTGCTGGGTCTGGGCGAGTCCTGCGCCTCTGCCTCGTGTCGTTGCGGCGCCTTGGGCTCTGCGCTCTTCCGAACGCCTGTAGAGCTCACTAGTAGATGGAAAACCACGGGCTCTCCGCAGCTATCGTCGTCCTTATCGTGGCTGCTCTGCATCTGGACCAAAATTTGCTCCAACGGCTCATCGTCGCCGCAAATTTTGCCCCCGAAAATGAGCTTCTGGGCGGAGACGATGGGTGTGGATGGAAATTCGACGCTGAGGCGACGTTTGAGGTCGCCCACGAGCGTCTTCGGGTCAATACTGAGGGCAAGAGACTCTGACGGAGTGTATACGTTGCGCACCACGAGGTTCACGAGCTGCGGTGAGGCTGATGACGAGTCCATTGCGGCGTTAACTGAGCTGCTCGGGCTTGAAGCGAGAATGAAGACTGAGGCGCCACGCGGCGACGCGGTACCCACGCGGATTGGTGTATAATACATGCGACGTTGACCAATGAGCGGCTTGTAAAAATCGAATAAACGATTTTGAAAACCCAAACAAATGTCAAAATGTTAGAATTAGATTGAATAGCAAAGTTTCAGCTGACAACACCATGAAAAAAATAAATAATTATAATTGATTCAATAATATTATTCCGGGAATTTCTAAAATCCAGGAATAATAAACTTATAATTAGAAGATTTAGGGCGTGTTCGCGATGACAGGAAAACATCGTTCTGGGAGGGAAAACGTCGTTTTGATCCAAAATCCGCGTCGCGAACACCAAAAAAAAAAAAAAACGCGAAAGGATACTTCAGAGGCGGAACGATGTTTTCAGGGCCATTCTGGAAATCAGCCGATTTACAAATAATAAAAATGTCATAACTCGATGTTCCAATTTTTGTCTGCTCTTATAACCAGAGGTTTTCTTTTTTTATACTGACATGGTCTGGAGTTGGTGCCACTTTCGTTTTGGACGGATCAGAGAGTAAACTCAACATCACTCGGCATCGTGGGCAAGACCACAAAGTCGTCAAAGAAGCAGACCAAGTCAACGAAAAAGCCAGCACACACCAGCAGGTCATCTACGACCCCTACAACCCCAAGTCAGCAGCGCGCAACGTGGGTAGTTCACGAAGAGTTTGACTTGCTGGATATGTACGGAAGGATGCTTCCCTACTACCGACAAAGGTCTCAAGACCAAAGCGTGGCGCACCCTGACGGACGCTCTGAACGCCAAACACAAGTCTTTCTAGAAAAAAAATGGTTTTCATCAAATCATTTTTTTTTAATTGCGTTGCAAAAAAAAAGTTTCTTATTTTATATTTTCGTAATCAAAGTAGGGGCATTTAAAACCTTCATGTTCTAATAAATAATTTTCTGGAATTTTAAAATTTACCACAATTAATATAATTGTATACTTTAATTTCCTTTTCAATAAATGCTATCAGAAAGATGTAAGGGCGTGTTCGCGATGAACGTCATTCTGATGGAATGATAATTTCGTGGGCTTGGGAAAAATTTTCTTCTCTTTGATGAAGGGCCTAGAACTCGTTTTTAGTGTTTTGTGTTCGCGATATCGAAACGTTACTCTGTAGATTCTTTCCCCGCCCAATAGTGAATTGATTTTAGTTTTTAGTTTTTAATTTTTAGCTTACTTCTTGAGGAACATTGCTGCGGCAACGTCGTAGCGCCGGTGTTGACGCCCTGCTGAAGCTCAAGGTGCACCCAGTGTGCTGAAAACGATGGATGCGTTGCTACTGGTGCTGATTATCGTCATGTGTATCTCTCCGCTATCTGTTCAGCGCTCTAAGTGCAGGATAGAGCATGAGAAGACTGTCAGGCTTCTGGGGCTATCTGCATCTGACGGACTACGCTTTTTCGAGGCAATACACGCATCAAACAATCGACGTTTGTTTCGCGACCACTTTGGAATGGATGTTGCCGCGTTTAATGTGCTGTTTGAACGTTGTTGCTTTAAAGGCTTTGTAGCTATTAGCTTCTTCCACACATCATCAGGAAACGTGGGCTTCCCTGTCGTTGGGCAAACTCCCACACCGCTCAATTCCTTGATATCCTTGAACAAATCGTAGTCGCGCATAATCCGATCCTTTTTT